AATGAGTAATATAAAAGTGCTTTATGAATGGAAAAAAGGAGTGAAAAAAGAATATACAAAAATTCGGTTTAAAATGCGTGCCATAAGGGCAAAACAAATCGGTCACTGTTTGCAAATAGCAAAGATAGGCTCCTGACTACCCATTTCTAACTATGCACCACCACATATCGATTGTGTGAAACGATTTGAAGTATATTTATATAAAGATGGGGAAGCCAACTCAGGTTAATTTTATGATGGAAGACGCAACTGTGCTCCATAATATACCATATATGGAAGATGAAGTATTAGATAAAGATGGTAAATTTATTGAAGAATTCATCAAAAACTATGATGGCAAGGTTCATGGGGATAAGGATGCAAATTTTATGGACACACATATTTTCGTTGAACTGGTTTATGCGTTGACTAGAAAATATACAAAGGAAATGAATGCAACCTCAAGCACAATGGTCACTGACAACATCAAAGAAACTGCTAATGAAATTGAACGAACTGATAAAATTGAAAAAACTGATACAGAAAATGCAGATGCTAAAGATGTTACCGAAAATGAAAAGAAAAAGACAGAAGATAAGAATTATTATGAAGAAGATTCCGATTTAGATGATGGCACAACGGATAAGGAGAAATTACCATTTCCAGCTTCTATAATATTTCAAGCCATCAGTGCATTGTTTCCAGATAGAGGTACTGCTATAGAACTAAAGGAGAAATACATCGAGGCAACTGAGCATCAGGATCCCGAAAGACCGCAAGAATGTACACCAAATATAGATGGCGAAATGGCTGAAAATGTAATTTTTTATGTATCATGTATCATTTTTTATCATCATGTAAAATGTAATCATTTTTATGTATTAAATAAACTACGTGAGCTCGGTGAAAAACAAAAAACTTATTAATAAATTGATCGTATTATCAACTAATTATATGTATATTCATTTATTTATGTAGTTCTATCCTATTTCAAAATTTGACGAATTCGAATAGCAAAGAAAAAACAAGGACAAAAATTTATTTAATTTATTGAAATTTTCCTGACCATACAACGCTGTTTCGAGTATTGCCAAATATTCATCATCAGTGATCTTAGGAAATATTCGAATTTTTATTTAATTAGTTTATAGTCCGTATATAATTTGTTTGGACTGCAAGTGCCAGGCTTAGAACTCTTGCCTGTCAAATTAAAAGCGATGACTAATCGTATTATTCCACAAGTAGTCAAGACTGCACAAAATTTCAATGCTCAAGTTCCAGGTTTTTTTGTCACTATGTTTTGACTTCGTTATCACAGCGGAATTTTATAACAACGATATAAATAAGAACAGATATAAAAAATTAAAATCTATTTTTATTAAAAAATTCCAGATAAGCGACTTAATAATGAACATTTAACAGAAAGTAAAATAAAATCAATTTTCTCATATTTATAAAACTTAACTCCTTAGTTCCACCAAAAGTTATTATATATAATAATTACGACAGTAATACGCCAGTATTTCAAAATGGATATAGTAGTCAACCTAATATAGCGTACAAAACGTTCGATCAAAAACAATCAATTAATCAATTCGAACAGTGTTTCTTAACCTTTTTTGTGTTATTTCTAATAAAGGTTTAATAAATTGCTACGCTAACATGTTCCCCACTCTTCACGTTTGTGAAATGAAATCAGATTAGACTAACAGATTTGTTTTACAATACTAGAAACTTAACACCTTTTATAACTGGACAATTTCCATTTCACAACATATTTTACACAACTTTTTGAATAAAAAAAAAATGATTGGTATAATCAACAATAAGAATTCTATTTGAATTCTGTAACTACAACTGTACCTATCAGCTTCTGTACAAACTATCTTTTCCATCACAAGTTTAACAGGCTGTATACATCTAATTTAAGTGGCACAATAGATTTTAAGGCCACAGTCCATACACTTTCATAATAATAATACATCTAATTTCTAATAATCTTTAATAATAATTAAATTCAGCAGTGTGTTTTATAATTTGTCGTTATGGGGGTTATAAAATTTGCAGCTCCATAATTTAAGGAACACAAAAATAAATATTTTATTAACAAAGAAAGCTATATTGAAAAGTGTTCACCATTTATATTATAAATTTTTTTTTTGTTTAACAAAATATCGTAGAACACACTCATAATTAACGGAAAAGCATCTATAATATCCCTTAGAGAGCAAACAGAACCTTTCAAGAATAGATAATTCTAGTAAAGCCTGTAAATGGTAGTTATAAGCGTTGTTAACACCTAACACTACATATTCACTTAATTGGCAATCGCGTAAGTTTTACATTTTCTAAAAATAAGTATTTACAAATAAAACCAAAGAGTTCTATAGCCTCTTTATACCCATCTAAAAGGCCAATTATCTAAAACACGGCTGTCCAAGGCACGGTTCATGGGTCAGATGAGACCCGGGGCTAATATATGTGAGACATGTTTCCAATCTACAAAAATTACGCAAATTTTCCCTTGATATATTTTGATAAAATTACAATATTTTATTTTTATGGCACTCCAAAAAAAAAAATTAATTTAAATGAATAAATTAATAAAACTAATTTAATACTATCACATTTAAGACCTATTTTGAGATGAAATAAAGTTTTACCAAATTTGTTCAATTTACTTTGGAACAATTCTTGTATAATCAAACAATCGTCGCTTATCTGGGGACATAGGTAATTCATAATATTTGGAATACAGAAAAAAAACATTCCATAAGTCAACTCAAAAAACATTTAAATAAATGAAAGATCGGAAAGCAAAGTACATAATATTTATTTTCTTAACACAAAAATACTTTCCTTTAAAAACTCTTAGTCTTATACATTGTAGTTTCCGACAAGCAATTTCCAAATTCATTTAAGGACAATTCTCTTCACAAATTCTTCATAAGAAGTTCGTTGGGTATTTATATCAATAAATTTGTGTTCAAAAAAATATAGATTAATAATACATCATGTTAATAAAAAATACTAATTTTACGTATTTTATTTGTCTCTTATAGCAAAAAATAATAATTTAATAAAATAAAATAAAAGTTAACATTCTTAAAAAACAAAACAGACTTTAATAATAATTTAAGGTTACAGTTCCTCACAGCCTGATGCCCTTGTCCAAGGCCTTCAATGGTAAATATGCCACTGAAAAGAGTTATACAAATAATGTTTCCTCCTTCAAAAAAAGTTAAATATTTTTATTAATTATTTATATTATCATGATATCTACAATTACCGAAACTCTTACCACATTTTTGTACAAATTTTATTTAAAAAAAAGTTTCTTATATTTTGATATTTGTCGACTTAATTGGTGAGTGTGAACATATTATTACTTTAATTATTATTATTATTTTTCCACGTTATTTTCTTCATATTCAACTATAATACAGTGGTCGAATCCTAAGTAAATACATTAAGACTGAAAAGTTTTCGGAAATTCTCATTTAAAATTCGCGCGCTGTATATTTTTCGATATTTTAAGTTTATGTAGTTTGGCAGCACTGTCCTTAATTACTATGCCAAAAATGAGCGCGATCTGTCAGACAGTTCGTTTACGGCAGCTGTTGAAACCAGTTCCCCTCAGTAGTGCGTTGCGAAATGTCTTCGACGGTCGTACGACCGTCCTGAAAGGCTTTGTACCACTCATAAACTTGAGTTTTCGATAAAACTGATTCCCCATAAGCCTTTTGTAGCATTCGCAACGATTCTGCACACGAAATTTCGTTCGAAACACAAAATTTGATGCAAACTCTTTGTCCAATATTTTTTTCCATTGTTTTTTTCGCAACGCACTACTGAGGTGAACTGGTTTCAACAGCTGCCGTAAACGAACTGTCTGACAGATCGCGCTCATTTTTTGCATAGTAATTTTCCTTAATTGCTGCCAAACTACATAAACTTAAAATATCGAAAAATATACAGCGCGCGAATTTTAAATGAGAATTTCCGAAAACTTTTCGGTCTTAATGTAGTTTATAGCCATTTGAAATAAACGAAGGTTACAGAATATAAGTAATACCATATTTTATATATAATATAGCGCATAACTGTTAGTATGGTTTGCTTATGAAACTATTATATTTTTTGCACATTGTTTTTTAAATCTAGAATTTATTCACAATTTTAAACAAGTAAACAAAGAAAAGCGAATGTGGAAATGATCGAATTATGATCATTCCTCCACTTTGAAAATGAGACTTTAAAATGCTAACATTTGCATCGTAATCAAATCCACAATTCCTTTTTAGTAGCTAACCTAAATGTGATCAAGGCAACTGATCACCCTGCAAAAAATAATACATGTGCAAACAAATTATTTGAATTTTTAATTTTTTAAACAGTGATACCAGTAAAGCTAAAGACATATTAGTTATCAAAATCAACAATAAACTTAGATTAATAAGCTGGTCCATCATTAATATCACTTTAGTAGGTTTTTGTTTTGTAGATCATTATAAAATATTTAATTTATTTAATATAAGTTAAAGCTACAATGTTTGTGAAAAATGAACCCAAAACTGCAACTGAAGTATTTTTTTATGACTATAAGAAACTTTGTTTTTAACAGGAAATACATATTTATATTTTTTTTAAATATAAACATAATATAATATAAATAATATATAATATAATATAAATATATGAACAAATTTAATAAATAATAGCAAAAACTCTCAGTATAATATATTGAAATAATTATATCAGATATTAAAGTTCATATAAGTTTAAATAAGATAAAAAATATATACTAAAAGTTTTAATATTTAAAAATATTTCATAAATAATTTATTATATATAGTTATATGATTTATAATAAATTTTAAATCTTGAGACTTTAAATTGCATTTACATTTTTATGATTTTTTTTTAATTTTTAATGGATAACATTAAAAAATAAATTTACAATAAATTTAGTGATATACATACTTGCGATCGCAAACATAAACACATTTTAGCAACTATAGTAGAATGTGGAACGCTTTAGGATTTTTAATCCTTGCGCAAGGGCCATGCTAATTTTCTCTGTATCGTTCCAATTTTAGTATATGTTCTGCCAAAGCAAGAATAGCAACTATTAAAACAATAGGAAAAGCATCAATTGTGAAACCAAAAGTAAAATTACGAAATAAGATATTTTTTTTAGAAAAATCTTATAATATTATTAAATATTTCCAAAAATATATTTTTTGATGTGTTAGAAATATTTGATTTGTTATCATATTTTATGTGTATTTTTATCAACACTTGCACAGTTTAAATTGTTTGAAAGTATCATACACAAAAGTGAAAACAATTTTAAATAATTGTATTCTTTTGATTCAATTATCGCATTTGCATGCATTTGTATATGAGAAACGCGAACATTTACTTACTTACTTACCTTACATTGGTTACAACCCATTGTCAGATATCGTTTCGACAAATCACTCCTCCACACGCTGTATCATTTAGCATATTAATTTTGAAGACCCGTGAAATGGGAACAGAGATAAAAACAATAAAACACTAACATGTACCTTATCTCATAAGATAAAATAATATCTTATCTTAATAAGATAAAATAATAATAAAGATAAATATATATAGAAAATAAATAATCAACTTTATTATTTAAATTATTTGACAACTTCACATATTTTAAGGCATTTATTATCACAATGGACCTAACTAAGCAGATCTTTCTGCAAAACTGCCTGCAACTTGAACTGTGACCCATTCATTACAGAATATAGAAGTCATAAGCGAAGGAGAAGATATAAAAATATAAATACAAATATAATATAAAATATATAAAAAAAATATAAAACTTATTCAATCAAACGTTTTAAAATATTTATTATAATAAGTGCGATTGGTAAATAAATGTGGATCTTATTCTACAAATTTCAATCTCACCATACTTTTAAATTGTACTAAAAGTGTTTTTAGATTGAATTGTGAACACTGGAATATGTATGAAAAAAATAGCCGGTGGTTCAGGTTTGCTCTGTTGTGTTCGAGTTTTTAATAACTAATGAATATTAATTATTCATACCGAAAGTAGGAACTATTTTGAGTCTAATTATATTTAATATTTATCAATGTATTTGTAATATCAGAAAGAAAAAATCAATCAGCACTTATTGTTGCTTAAATAACAGAAAAATAGAAAGAAAGCGAGAAGATGGGACTTATTAAATACATGTCCTTGCTGACGACTTGCTCAGTCTTCGCGGTGCTTATATCAATTATTTGGCAAGCATTCATTTCGCTGAAAAAAATAAATAAAGTGATAACCTTATTGACGGGTTTATTGGCGATAGAAAGCAGTTTGAAACGCCCACAAGACTATCCGCGACCAAAAGTAGCAATTGGTTATGGAGCTTGCACAGATTTACTTATAAATGCAACTGATTTTTTAAATTACACAGAAAAGTATGTGCAAGACATTGGTCCGGAATTTACTGTAGATGAGATCAATAATGAAAAAGAGCTTCTGCAGACTTTTGCCTACTACTTTCAAAATGGTGCAGCAGCTGAGTAAATTTAAAATTGTATTTTCCAAAAATTTACTTAAGCAAATTATTACATTTTAGACGGATTATGCCGAATACAGAGCTTTTCAGAAAATTGATAAACATTGCAAAAACCCGACATCGCAATCAAATTCAATGGTTTATTGGAGGAAATGCACCATTAATGGGTATACGCTTTTTTATGGAAGGTGCCGATGTCCTTCTCGGTGCACGTTTGTCGCATAAGTATGTAAAAGTGTGTTTTCCAAAAAAAAAAAAATTTTTATTTCATTTTTCGTAGATTAAGGCGTTTAATACCAGAAGAAATAAAAATTGCCGGTGAAGAAATTGACGAGGATGACATTCATATTATACTAGAATATAAGTCGGGTGACAATTGGGGTCCGTTTACAGCTCCTCGCGCAAATAGGTATATAATACATAATGACAAAAACAATCCACATCTGAACTCGCTGGAACATTTTGAAGAAGCTTTGAAAGAATTTCAACCCAAATTAGTTGTAATTAGTGGATTACAAATGATGGATAGTTATCAATTTGAAGAAGGTACTTTAGAGTAAAAAAAAAATATGTTGCAAATATTCTTAAAACACGGCATTCATTTTAAAATAAAAGGGGTAAGAGAAGCAAGACTATACAAGGTTCAACAACAAATATCACGGCAGCCGCCAACCGTTTTACAGCATTTTGAAATGGCTAGTTATGTTGAAATTGAATTACTACAGATGTTGCGGAAAAATGTGCTGCCATATGTAGACTCAATTGGTATGAACGAACAGGAACTAGATAATTTAAGGCAAGTATTGGAATTTGACAGAATTACGTTGGCATCTGACTGGAACCCTCGTATAGCTTCAACACTTGATCATATGCGAGAAGTATTCAAAATACTCGCAAACAATTATTACGAAAACATAAAGCGTAACGGCAGATTACGTCTTTTAACTCGAATTCATGTGCATACTCTTGCCTATCAAGCTATTTTAGTTGTCAAGGACTCACAGTGGAATAATACAAATGTATCCGCCGCAAAAGCCGCTCTAACTGCACATCGCTATGTGTGCCAAACCAATATGGTAAGTGCTTAACAAAACCTGTTCCACATATTTAATAAAACTATAATTGCATTTTTAGGTAAATCCTGAATCTGCGTCGCTTCTATTAGACGACAGTTTTGCAATTTCGGCTACTAAAAATGCTGAACGCAAAACATTTAGTACTCAAAATCCGGTACCTTGTTGGAAAGAATTCATTGAAGTAAATGCCCAAAAATCCATAGAAATTGAGATTTGCATTGCTCCTGTATTGGTATGCCGGGTTGCAAAAAAAACTGCTGGTGCTGGTGATAATATATCTGCTGCTGGACTATCACAGCATCTTTGACTTGCATCGCTTAGAAAGTAAAAAAATCAATGAATCTTTATGTCCACTTACATCACTTTAATTCGATTTCCATACAACCTTTGACCATTCGGAAACCTTAGTGACCTTAAAATGTTATATTTAACATATACATACTGTTAAAACATTCCAGAAGTATATTCCAGTATATAGAAATTATTATCTTAATATTGTTTATAATTTTATTACACAAAAAAACTTAAGATTGTTTACATTTTAAATGTACTTATCCTAAATTTGTGTTCATCTTATTATAAGATTAATCCTATTTTTAAATCATTGTTAAAATATTAGTTTAGCAAATCTACGTGTAAATTATATACATACTTTTCAAATTTTAGACAAATTTTACATGTTTGTAGTTCGGGTTTTTATTTTTTGTTACTTTTTAATAAAATGTTTAATTAAGATATTAAATATAGTTTTTATACAACCTACAATAAAAACAAGTTAAATATGTCCTAAATACAAGAATGACTACTAAATCTTACATTTTTCTCATTAAATATCACTAGTTCATGAAAGTAAGTTATTTTAAAAATAATTGAATAGAGTAGTTTAAGCAGGAGATGAATATTACCTAAATAGGAAAAAATTTACAATTATAAATTACAATTTTGTTTGTGAACAAAAGAGAAAATTTGCAGATTTTTATGAGCAAATAAGTCAGAAATAAGTGGAAGCGTTTCGAATTGTTACACAATACGACTTACAGAAGTATTATGAAGCTTTCTGTTTCTTACAGTCCCGGCATAACATATGCTATATTATCTAATGTAGATGATAAATTTTCACTTAGTTGTGACTTATGTTCTAGACCAGGTATCTTTGTTGTTAAGCATAACAAAGGACCCAACGAACATAATAAACTATCTAAGAGCACTGATAAGCTACCTGAAACAGCTATTTGACCTTCATGTTCTTTTAACCGTTCACCTATTATAGTTAAACTTTCACCTAACAATTTTAAATGAGCTGCTGTGTCTATGGGTTCAATACTCGATAGAGGAATTATTTTGCTATTTTGTGCATTTGTACTTGGATACGTTTGAGAAGGTACTTCATTAGTAGTTATATGAGCAGAATTATTACCATTGTTTGTTGTATAATTTTTTTTCTTTTTTACAATATTATTAGTTTCACTATTATTAAGATCTTTTATTAAGGATTTACTAACTTCTGCCAGCTTCTTAGTTCGACTTGTTGTCGCTCGATTAAAAAATGCCGAATTTAAACTATGTTTTGCTGATAGTCCCAATTTTGCATGCTCCATAGTAATCCTTGCCTTGCCAGCTTCTAGTTTTGCTCTTCTGCGCCATGTATTTTTCTCTTTATTGGATACATTTGCCCATAATTCACCTAGCCGTCTAGCAGTATTCGAAAAATCTGCAATATTCAATTCTTCATTACAAAATTATAACAAACCAAAAATAAAGATCTGCATTATTACCTAAATCTTGATTTTTACTAAACTTTGATGTTTTTCTAAATTCACGTGCCCACATACTATAGGCTGTATAACGCGACTTTCCTTTATCCTTGCGCTCCAATTTCCTTGTTATAACTTTTCCATCTTGGAGGAATTTTCTTTTGTTTGACTTTTCGGTCATATAAAGACTTTGACGTACTTTTGAATCGTGATTATTTGCGTGTTCCAAAGATTCTGCTTCAACACCTTCTACTAAATCAGCCACAAGTTCATCCAATTCATCTTCCGAATCTGGAGCAACAAGTGCATTTTCTAAAGGCACATCCGATAATTGTTCGTCATTTGAATCAGATTCATTTCCATCATTATCATCTGCCACGTTGTCCGTATCATTATTTTTTTTGCGACCGTCCTTAGGTGGCCTACCACGTAAACCACTACGTAATGGTTTTGGCGCTCGTTTTGGTTTCTTTTCAAGTTCATCTGGTGATTGAAAATCAAGTAGTTTGGAAGATTTCTTTCTCACACGTCCACTGCGCGATATTCCCGCTGTTACTGAATCTAATAAGTTAAATGCGTTAATTGAATACTATTATTTATTTATAAACAATTAATACCTCCTTGAGATGCATTCACAGTTGGCGGAGTTTCCATTTTTGTTTTTTATTATTTTTATTGCCTTTTTTGATTTGTTTTAACTATATTCTTTACAATAAAAGAAAATTGAGAAAATAACAAAAACCTTTTTGATGCAATAGACAACAGAGTTGCATTTTACTCGCGATTTATGAAACGCTACCGAAGAGAAGACCAAAAATAATTTACATAGTATATATGATAAGTTTCAATTGTTTTATAATTGTTAATGTATAAAACTAACATATTTAATAAATACTAACCTAATATATAAACAAAAAATTTTAAACACAATAATATTGCATAATATATCGTTAATGAGAATTTATTAATAATAGCGTCTTTTCAAAAATTCCCTCAGATGAAGTGTGCAACACTGTTGTTAATATTAGTAGTTTTTGTTTTTGGCGCATTTCCGCATCAAAGATATAACGAATTTGTTTGTGTTCTTTGTGTTTTTATGTTTATAATTACATATCAACAATGAATAAAAAAATATATTATTTGTAATATATAAAAATAATGATATAATAAAACATATTGATATATTGAATAGAATAAATGATTTCTTTATAATGTGAAAATAGAAAAGCAAAAGTAATAATACATAACAAAAAATAATTTTAAGAAACAATGACAAACCAAATAACTAGAACTGCACTCTCCGAAATACCTAGCAGATTAGAAGCACTGCGGGTAGCAACAACGCCTACAAACACTCATAGGCGTAGTACAGAGGAATACAATGGAAATGTTTACAACCCAGTAACTCTTTTGGACAACGCAACTAATGTTGCATTATCTGAAGAATATATGGTCTCACCACTTCACTCGCCAGATGAACTTGTAATACGTCAACGTGGACGACGTAGTTTTACCACATGGTCTCCAGATCAACCAGTGTCCATGCAAGCTTATAGCCCCTTTCAGCGCACACCAACAAAAATGCCTCTTACAACTAGTATGATATTACGTAGTTCGCCACGTAAACGCTTAACAATGGGTACTTTACCGTCAGATTCAATACCATCATCACCTACAAAGAACTATTTTTGGGCAGATCAACCAATAATAAAGAAGTTACGAATAGAAAGTGATGAACGTCCAATTGCTCAGCTCAATAAGGACGTACCATTAAAAACAGTGTTGGAAGGATTCTCACATCAACAACTTATTGATTTGATTGTTGATGGTGTGGTTGCAGGAAATAAACATTTAGAAGATAAATTGCGTTCACACTTACCGATACCAGATATAATGTAAGTAATTGTAAATTTAGTTCAAACTAAAACTAATCGTTGTTATTTATAGTCCAATGGAGCGGGAGCTATTACATATTAAACGAAATATTTTTAGATCCCTGCCAACGTCACGTCTTTGTAAAAAAACTGATAGTACATCATATGGGAGAGCGGCAGTTCATTTGCTTGAATTTAAGCGCATATTACACTCACACACAAAGCAATTGTATAATTCAGCCCATTGGGATGCATTGCTCGATTATATTATTATAGCTTGGCCCTGTGTTCGCGAGACTCCTATTTGGGATAGTGCTACGCATAATTCAGTGCGAAAGCAGTGTTTTAAACTATTATCATGTCATTGTATGGCAGCAGTTAAATATGGAGGTTTGCGTTTGGGCATTGATCGTCTGTTATTTCTACAAAAAAATCTTAGTGGTTGGATGCGAGACTATGAAGATGTTAACTCTTGTTTAAGTGCAGTAAATAAGATGCTCAATAATGGCTAGTTAAAGTTGCATTTTTAGATGCTTTTAAAGTAAATATTAGTTCTTTTGCAATTGTTTTCCTCAATACATTGTACCTTATTATTTTATTATAGAATATTTATAACATGCCATATTATAAGTTATAAAAATTTTTAATACTCAACGCTAATGGAGTTGGGTAACTAACTCCAAACAAATAACATTTTTAACTAAAACAGGTTGTAATACTAAGAATTGAGGATTTTATACAAAAAAGTTTTAAAATAAAATTTAAAGACAATTTATTTAATATCTAATATAATGCAAAATAAAAATGTGCAAATAAAAATTTAAATATATTTGTAATATAGATAAAATATTACTTCTGAAGACTCTGCAATGTATTAATTAAATTAATTTAGTTTAAATAATTAAAAGAACTTAATTTACATTTAATTAACAATTAATTTTAATTATAAAGTATGCACAAATTATATGTATTAGGGGTCAATGTAAGAAAAGTTTTTCGATGTCTTACCTATATATATTTATATACGTTATAAAGCATTAAAACCATTAAAACCAAATATGAAACACAAAATAGTAAAATGTACAAATTTGTAGAATTTTATTTAAGTACTTTACAATATAAATCGATTACATATTTTCTTATTATGAAACATTCATTAAAATAAATTTAGTAATACTAAAATATGACTAAAAACACTCAAAATCATTTTTCATATGTATTTCAACTTCCATGTCTATGCCTAGTAACAACAATAATGAAAAAAGCCAGCACCAATAGAATCCACTGATTATTATGCACTGACATCTTCATAGCTCCAGATATGTGTCGCCCTGCAAAGAAATAATATATTTAGTAAGTTTATTATGTATAAGTTACTTAAGTGATTGTTTTTATATATAACTTATAATTAAACTTAAACTTAATGTAACGCTTCATATGCAAAATATTTTTAATCTAAATGTATAAAATTTAATATAGAAAACTTATTTAAATTGCGTTGTGATATCGTTTTTGTAATTTCGAATGTAAAAGATAAACTGAAAAATATAATTTATTATATTTTTTGAAGTATAAGCTGCTATAATTATGTTAAATATAAAAAACTGTCAACTGTTGATCCTTTGATTGCTTTATCAATTTAAGACAATGCATTAATTATGTAAAAAAAGACGTATAAGTAATATTAAATTTAAAATTATATTGTAGAAATATTGGTTTTGATATATTTTTAACATATGAAATTGTTTATTAATCATTTCTAAAAAATAAAATATTTTTTATTACAAGAATTCAACCTTTTCGATAAAACTAAGTTGAAAGCACATAATAGCAATAATATATTACTTTAATATATTTTATAAAAAAGTATTTGTAAACATAATTCAATATTCATAAGTTAAATTTTTCAAAATTATTTTACTTAAATTTACAAAACATAATTTCATAAATAAAACAATAAAATGTATCGTTAAACAATTATTTATTATATTAGAGCCAAATTTTTTATTTCATTCAAAATGCGCTCGGCCCACGCATCGAGCAAACACGAAACTTCATAAAAAATCTTTCACTTAGTGTGTTTGGGTAACTATAAAAAGCTATAAATTTCCAACAAATAACTTCATTTGTATATAAGAAAATTTAATAAGCTATGAGAACCTCAAAAACTTTAAAATCTTAAATGGGCGCAGTGAATTATTTTAAAAATTTGGATGATAAAATATAAAGAATTTTTGCTTTTGCACATCTGCACGTGATTTGGTATATCGAAAAATAATAAACCATTTCTTGACACCCTCACATATTTGATATTAAACATATTACCAATTAATGTTCAACGTAAAATATTTATAAATTTTTTCTTAAACAAAAGGTGTTAATTGGTCAATAAAATATTTTTCATATTTTTGAATTTAATTTTTTTAGGAACAAAGTTATGTTAATTAGCGTAAGAGTGTTAAAACTATTTAATGTGCACTTTAAGTGATTTATTTATGGTTATATCATTATATCACTTGTACTCAACATGAATAAATCAATGATTTAAATAAAAAAATTATTTACAAAATTTGTTGCACAATTATTTTTACTGAGGTTTAGAATGTAATACATTTTTCATATACTTTATAATATGACTATTTGTAACTATTCAATGTACACTTTAACCCGATTAAAGTGGTAACATGTTTTTATTATTATAATTATATTTGACAAAAATAGAAAAATTTTACTTTTTTGTATAACTATATATAATATTCAGTTATTCCAACAATGATATGTACGTTTCATTTAACAAATATATATATATATGTAGTGCTACTATTCTAATTCCTTTAGAATTTTATAATATATAGCGACCTTTAATAATAACATTGCATACTACTTGGTGTTATTCTATTGAATAATAATTCCTAAATTGAATATAGTATAATTTCATATGTTGTAAACATTTTGTATAGATCTAATACAGTGAAATACCAACTTTTTTATAAACTAAAACACCGACTTCCCGTACCATACATTTATCATATTTTGCTTTATGATCTTATAAATCTTCCTCCAGTTTTAATTTCAAGATTTACGCAATGAAAGAACAGTCATCAACTAAAAGAATTTTTGGTGCCAGGAATGTCCGGGTTTACGTCTTAGAATTACTTATTTACACATACCATCAATTCCCGCTTTCCAATCCCAACAGGAACAATATTAGCAGATCTAATCGGCTTCTGATTTATTTAAACTTTCTAACATTTTATTCATATTATTTTCTGTATATTATGAAGAATCAGGGAGGTTACTCTTCTTCTTTTTTTTTTGATTTTATTGTATTATATTATTTTTAGAATAATTTTTAAACTTTTCTAACGCAATGAGAAGATGTATGCATTATCGCTACTTTAACAACCGCTCTATTGAATTATGAAAATGAGTTATTTAGGTGATTATACAGAAGTATAGTTTGAAGCCCAGCAAATCTTCCTGACGGAGTACATATTGCGTTTATTTTAAGAGAGTGTATAATCATATTTAACAATATATGTACAATTTTTAAAAAGTTGTATCGTGTGATTTTCAACCGTAATAGGCATTAACCACCACAACAAGCTATTCTCGTTTAAGGCGTATAACAGATCCTACTTAAAAACTACTTAAATAGGACTTGCAATAAGAACTGATCCAATCAGATAAAACTTAGATTTTCTGTTATTTGAATTGGTTTTTGTCAGGTAAATAAAATGGAAATAGGTAAATGTAGAGATTTATAAATGAAATGATTAAGTCAAGGTACGTCTATTTCTAATAAAATAAAATTAGATCAAGGTTTTAAACTATCAAACAAAATATTTGCTTAATGGATATTTAGTTTTAGATTGTTTCCTGATATTTTATTTGATTTTAACAACTATGACATTTTATTAATAGAATTTAAATATTTAAATCAATATTAGTAATCATAATACATAATTAAATTCAATCACTTTACTGTACCCTGCTTTTTTTAATAATTGTATTATAATTAAAATGTTTAAATGTTTTTATCAAAATTTTTTAATTATAGAGTGGTTGTGAGTTAACTTTTTTTATTATATTTAAATGATAAAAAAAACGACTGATGTGAATATAAAATAAGAGCTTGTAGATTAGTTTTTATTTTTGTTTTTATTATTATATGTCGATATTTATAGTAGGTAACTATATAATAATAAAAACAAAAATAAAATCTAATCTATTCTATTACTTTTATTTTTTATTCACATCAACAGTTTTTCACCAATTTTTTAAATAATTTTTATTTATAAACACTATAATTAGGCTAAACTCCAAAATGTTTTTTTGTTTCTAATAGTTTGGTCTTTTTCCTTCAAAAATCTTCCTCAATAAAATAAAACCAAGATAATATAATGTTTCAAAGTAAATAATAATATTTAAAAGTCGTTACGAAGTGCGATCTAATCTTATATTGCTTCGCAAGGGTTGGAGCGCAACAGCAATCCTAGGCACTAATTCGTTTATTTATTTTTAATATTTATATATATATATTTTCCCTGTCGTCTTTTTTAAGTTCTTTAAAAGTCTTCATCAATAAAATATAACCAATAAAATAATATGTTTTAAAATTAATAATAATATTTAAACGTCGTTACGAAGTGGGATCTAATCTTACATTGCTTTGCAAGGGCTGGAGCACAACAGCAGTCCTTAACATCCTCGTATAAAAAACAGGAACCAAGTGAAGCAGTATAAACTTTTTCTCCCACGTAGCAAATGTGTGGCACGAAAGGCAATCCTTCTACAAGAAAGAGAAGATTTAAGTCATATTAAAACTCCTTAAATTCAATTTATTATAAAATAATATAATTTTAAAATTTTATTTAAAAGTAAGATTAACTGAAAATAAAAATTAAAATTCAAATAAGCTTCTCACTAATTATATGTCTACAAATAAAATCACCGAGTGCTTAAAATTTTGTAATAATAGAATAAAGAGTTTATTACCGCATTTGCAAAAATATTACATTTGTAATGAAGGCATTTTATTTTTAATGCAAAAATTTAAAATTTAAATTATGTATTATGTATGCATTTCCACAGCATCGTTTGTAACCTTGAATAAGTTCAGTACATATACACACATATATATATATATATATGATATATTCATTCCAGTATCTTAATTGTTTGTATATGTTTCTTCCGCAATTGCATCCAAAATGTAGGTATATAAGTAATACAATGCCTACAGAACTGAGTTGTATTAGAAATTGTCAATGTAAAAAATTAGAAACGCACATAAGTTTTGCTTAGATTGAAAGTACCTTTTATTCAGTTTCTATTCTATTCAGTTCAAAAACTTAATTGTTTTAAGAAAAAATGGAACAATATTCACAACTATATTCCCTTATATTTTCTACTATTATGGGGCCATACAATAAAAAAAAATGATTAAATTAATTCTTATATTTAAATTATTATGTTTTTAATAATTAAAGAACTATTTACAAAAGTTTTCACTTATTCATTCGGTTCAATTGGTTCCCTCTATCCAAAAAGTTAGAGAATCCGATACAAATCGGATTAGAACTGGTACAAACCCTATTATTTACTGAGTACTACGATGCTGAGACTATATGCTCACTTTCATAACAGCAGTTTTATTACTATTATTAAAACAAATAAACATATTAAGAGTGAAGAAAAAATAAAGCAAATAAATCAGCTACCAGGCTATTCCAGAAAATATATTGTTTGAACCATATTTGTCTAAAAATTAAGATAATTGAAATGTTATCATTAATAACACTATCCTATTTGAAACTGTGAATGCACTGCCCAAACTTCAAAATGGGACTTATGTTAACTTTCATAAGAAATCACCTATTATACAGTGAGTATCTATATAGAGAAAGTATTCAACATCATTCCGTTTGAAACTCTGGTTTATTAGCGTTACCGATTCGATATCGCCTTAACTCTTTGTAGTATTGTGTTTCGATTTCACTCTTATGGTTCCTTTGAGTTCCAAATCGGGTCAGACTCCTCTCACGGCGCTCCTGTCATTGCTGATTTCTGAAAGCTACTCTCACTTTTGTTCAAGTTGTTCATAACTGTCTTTTATGGTATTTAGGAGATCTACCAACCATAACTGAATATGTTTAAGGTTAGGCTTAGCTTAATTCACATCTTGGATCTCCTATGCAGGTTTTATTCCATATAAAAATTTTAAGTCTAAGATTTCTGCTAGTACCCTTACTAGTACCAATAAGATCTCACAAGCACAATTTTAAATTTTAAGTTAAATTCTTAAAGTGAAACTTCTTTGCTATAAGCAACCTACACAGCCTCTTATGTCAATATTATATGATCAGTAATTAGTTCTACTGCGATTACCTCTTTTTTTAACGCAAAGTCCTTCGGACTATCTTAATGATAAGCGCAAGCCTAACAGTAAAGACGTCACCAGTTCCCTGCTTTATGCCAAGACTAAAATTACTCACATTTATGATCAATTAATTTCACTCGAACGGCTCTGATTCGACATGACTTTCCTTCTGACACTGACGCATAATTTTTATTTCAACGACTCTACTCTAACTCTACTTGTATTAGTTGCAATCCGATCTCTCTATCACCCTGCTTTACAAGCACAGTTTTTGGTGAACCTAGTCACAAGTATCACACTTAACAGCTTTCCTGTAATACTTACCTACAGTTACCATCCTGCACGAGTTTAACCTTGCTATAATACCGTTTCTCACCCATTAACTTAATTAAATTCAAATTTCAAATATTAAACCGATTTATTTTTATATATGTCCTTGTCTCCTGGAATTTATTACCCAATCTTAAGAGATGGTTGTAGTGGGTTAAAGTCTAACACGGTGGCTTCTGATATTTTTCACATACCGGAAAAGAAAACCATTAATAGCCCACGAATAAGGTTGGGCATAAACATTTTTCCCATGTCACCTGAATAATTTTTGTTTGCAAATTAAGGAATATTTAATAGACTAAAAACTGATTTACTAATTATGCTATTTGAATGAACCGTTTTTGAGACCTTATAATTTATATGACGGCATATCAGATAGCGTTTCCTTACGTCTAAGTGTGTAATGTATTTTTTTTGGTTCAAGAAATAGCCTCATGGAATATAATCACTTTGGAACGTAAGTTTATATGTAATATACTTTGGATATATGTACATATGTACTATCATTTTCTGTTTATAATAAAAACAACTGCTATTATAATGTGAAAATTAGCAAATAAATGCAGTAAAAATCTGTTAATATAATTATAGTTATGATACACACTGCGATAAATAAGTTAAAATTAATTTTTGTGTAAATTAATTTAAAATTAATTATTATTTATTGTATAAAAATTTAAGAAATGAAAGTTGACATGTAGTAATTCGAAACTAAAAAATATTATACGATTGCTATATATTTTGATTTTTCATCCTAAGAAAATTGTTTATTACAAAAAATTTATTTAGTTTCTACGAAATATATTTAATATCATTATGACTATGTCTATAAAACCATAAAATTGCATTCCCCACCAAATGCATACTAAGCTGATCAAGGTAAATACGAGTTTATATGGAAAAACTAAATATTATATGAGAGTATAAGCTTTTGTGTATACGCCGGTGCTGTTTTTGTTGCTATTATGACTCTATATTTACCAAAAGTGTTTACACAAAAATGGATTCCTACGAAACCCACTTGGAAGACATTTATTGTAATTTCAGCCAAATAAATAATGATCTGGATGATATCATAAAAACACAACATGAATCGATGTTTACATGGATATCGTTCCGAAATTTCTATTGGAAGAAATACAAAATTCTAAAGTTCATTAAAACGCCTAATTTAATAAATAAATAATTTAATATGTTTATTTATAAAGTATTTAAATTTAACAAATGTTTACAAAATTTGATCAAAATAATTTTTTATGTTTTTATTTTGATTGTACAAGTACCAAATTAATGAAGTTCAAAAAAAGATGAATCATAGATTATCAAAACTAAGAATCATAATAATTATAAAATATCGTCATATAAGGTTTATTTTTAAATATATATTTATAAATGCTGTTTCTCTCACCTCTCTGTTTTCGGATTGACTAAATTAAGTGAGTGTATAATTATGAGTGGGTTCTGCAAAGAAGAATGTCTTCAGAAGAATGTCTTGCTTAGATACAAGTCTCTTACATCTCTTACATGAGATATTGCAAAACTTTTCAAATTGATTTTATTACCAAGTAGTTATAGACGTTAATATAAAATTGAGGAAACTGGGAAATTAGTACACAACACAACACCTGGTTAGTATATGTTAGCAATTATAGAGTTTCTTAGATATTATATTTTAGCATTCACTACAGAAATATTCGACAACATCGAGATATAGACAGTATCGTAAAGACTTGAACTATATTTATAAAAACACTTATTATAAGACCCTTTTTAATAGAGAAATTGACGGTATCATTGTACAAGAAATAAAATGAAATTTAACGGAAAAAAATTAGCATCTACCATCTCTGCTGATACACTTAATGGTCAGTAAACTCTTTCATAAGCAAAAATTAGTTATAGTTTTAAGATAAAGCCTAGTTTCAACAAATTTCAATGGAATCTATTACTCAACTCACTATTTTTAATTTTTCAAGTGCTAAAAGAACCCAATCTAAAAAACATCCAGTCATAAAAACCTCAATATGTTGGAAGTGACTTTTCTGAATACACACATATTGTATATCAACTTTTAGTTAATCGAAATGTCTTGTATTTTGTGTTTAATATCTCTTTTTAATTTTAAAGTTTAAAAATTTTATTCTTAAATCCATTTTAGTGCCTTATATATTATCTTAGAAACATAATTGTTAAAAAAATGTTATATTAATAATGAAACAGTTTTATTATCGGAGAATTTCCTTTTAATCTGTATCAAGTCTATTACATCAATGCAATTCTTTACGCCCTTTAGGTTATATTCTTATGTTCTAAATGTCTGGTATTTTTAATACTCTGTATATATATATAAAATTTATTTAAAATGCCTTTATTGAAAAATATTTAATGCATTTAAAATATTCAAACATATATAGTTTTTTAACTCGAATTTGTTTATGGTTTCGTTGAATTTTAGACTATTACAGGCTATACATGTTATTGAGTATATGAGTAAATGGGTATTTGAGTAATATTAAATATATTACTTAGAATTCTGACTAAATGTGCAATTATTGCGTATCATTTAATTCTAAAAACAACGTTTTACAGCTTACAATAATCATGAATAACGATTATTTCTAACAGTACATTTATACTACCCCGATTAAAATGTTTTCGCAACTAACTATATATTAACCTATATATTACAATATTATATATTACATTTAAATTATTTATTTATAACATAATATTTTAATAAAATATAATATAACGTAGAAATATTCTAAAACAAATAGTATAAAATTAATTATATAGTTAAATTATTTTATTCACATTTAACATAAAATATAACATAAACCACATAATATATAATATATTTTCTCGTTTTATTTTGTATTTACTTATATTTCGTTTCTATTTTATAATCATATTTTTTTATTATTTAATAATTTTTTTTATATTATAAATTACATATATGCTTTATGCTTATATTGACAAAGCTTATTTGTACCAACATAAAATCAAAGTAAATGAAACAGCCAAAATTTCAACTGAGTTCACTGTGTATAGAATATAAAATTGCAGAAGAAATAGTTAAA